AAAAATCATGCTCGTACCTGACCGGTTGTCTGGAAATGGAAAGCATCATCGACAGTTTTTAGTTGTCGAACAAGATCGGCGATATCAGCTCATCCTTTGGAGATATGAGACTCATGAACCATTACAGCTCTTTCAACTCAATACTGTTACGTACGTCACATCGCAGACCTCAATGAGGATGCCCATCCAGCCGCTGCATCAGCCATTCGAGAGAACTTTACGTTGACGATTTACTGACCGGTGCGGAGGGCAGAGAAGACTTAGAATCCCTCAAGTTCGAAATCATAGAAGTTCTTAAGTCGGCAGGTCTGTCGCTAAGTAAGTGGCACTCAAACTCCTCACAGTTGTCTGACGCTTTGTGTAACGAAATGGCTATTAAAGCAAATGAAGAGGACACATTTTGTTTCCGCTATGACTTGCCAGATATGCAGACTATCACAAAGTGAAGTGTACTGTCATAATAAAAATGTTTGACATCTTGGTTTATTAAGCCCCATTATTATTGGCGGCAAAATATTACTGCATGAGATTTGGCTTCGAAAAATACAGTGGGATGAAAACCTACCTCACGATTTACAAAACGTTTGGTTGCAAATAAAATCTGACTTACAATTCATAAACAACATAGAGTTGCCTCGTCACGTCTTCACATCAAAAAATTCTAGTTGCGAATTTCATGGCTTTGCAGATGCTTCAACTCGAGCTTATGGGTGTTGCATTTAGGCACGGTCAAACGATGGCGGCACTTACATAACAATGCTCATAATTGCCAAATCAAAGGTAGCACCTATTAAGGCCCAATCGCTTCCACGACTGGAGCTGTGTACAGCGCTTTTGCTAAGTCGAACTTGTCGAAAAATTAAACATAAATTAATTAAATATTCTTCTCAAGTTTGCTTTTGGACAGATTCAGAGATAGTTCTTCAATGGATTCAAACTCACTCGTCAACACTAAATTGCTTTGCGACAAATATAGTATCAGAGCTACAGGAAAATTCTGAAGGAATAATTTGGAAACACGTTCCGACTAAGGAGAATCCAGCTGACATAGTTTCGCGTGGGCCGAGCGCCGTCAAACTTTTGGATACAATTTGGTTTACAGGACCCAAATTTTTGTCTAAACAGTCTGCAGAAGGGCCTGCCGCAAGGCTGTGTCTTTCAAGTGTAGTAATAGTAGCACCGATGGAGCCATCATCCGTTCAATTATCAACCGTAGCTCATGGTATTATCGGCCGCTTCGCACAGCATCATACGTCCTTCGCGTTTTCAACAAGGTCCCTGTTAATACATACCTCAGGGCTATACTACATGTGCCACACACAGAATTGGAGCAGACCTTCTGGAGACTTATTTCACAAATTCAACAAATCCAGTTCGCAGAAGAGATTGAGTACATTCGAAAACAGAAGCAGGTGAAATCGTTCTTACAAAAACTAACCCATTTCTTGCACGAAATGAAATTTGGCTATCTCCCAATTTCTATTCTCAGAGTTTGCGGTCGTCTATCGAAGGCACCAATACCTTTTGACGCAAAATTCCCCGCTCTACTCCCATACGAACATCGATTCACTCAACTTTTCTTGGACTAACTTCATCGAAAAAATTTGCGCGCCGTCCTAAAGGTTTTGCTAAGTTTAATGCGCGAAAAGGTGTGGTTAATACACGCAAGAGAAATCGCAAGGAAGACTGTGCGAAACTATCCATTGCTTCCATTATAAGCCAAGGCTTATGAACCAAGTAATGGCGGATCTTCCTGCCGATCGTTTACAAATTCGAAGGCGTTTTCTTATTAGCAGAGTGGATTTTTGCGGTCCTTTCGCTACAACTTATCGTCTTCGAGGAAAATCACCCTACAAACTTATATACCGATTTTTATCTGCTTTGTGTCGAAAGCAGTACATGCTGAGCTCGTATCCGATTTAGCTACAAATAATTCTTTACTTTTCTTGAAACGTTTTATAGGTCAGCGTGGCATTTCTCAACGCATTTACTGTGATAACGCCACCAATTTCATTGGAGCTCAGGCCAAACTGAAGGAGCTGCAGCATCACTTTTTCAACAAAGCAGCAGTCGATGACATCTCCAGCTACAGCAACATCACTGGTTTCGAATTTAGTTTCATTCCACCCCGCGCCCCACATTTCGGTGGTGAAATCGATGAAAACGATTCTCATAAAAAATATTACCTAGGCTCACCTAACCTACGAAGAGTTGCAGACCGTCATCGTAGAAGTGGAAGCTATTCTGAATTCTCGACTGTTAACTCCACTATCTACCGATCCTAATGATGGTGAAGCATTGACACCAGGAAATCTGTTGATTGGCACATCCTTGCTATCGATCCCAGATAAGAACGTCGTTGTCAACACCACGGTTACCCTAACACAGTGGCAGCAAGTATCGTACTTAAAACAACGCTTTTGGGAACTCTGGTCGCGTGACTACATTCGCAGTCTACAACAACGTTCAAAGTGGTTAAAACTAGAAGCCAATATAGAAGTGTGACAAATGGTCATCATTCACGAGGAGAACTTGCCCCCACACCATTGGTTACTTGGTAGAATTGTGAGCACAGTTCCTGGTTCTTATTCATGATTCAATAATACAAGGTTGGATAAATATTGACATTTGTGTCAATCGACTGCCTTTTAAGGTTGCATTTGAGAAGGAAAGAGAAAGCGGGTAACCATTTTATCCCCTTCTGTGAAAAGGTAGTAGGAAAAGTAGTCTGGTAGTGCTGAAATGCGTTTTTTGTATACAAATTTAATTAATCATATGAAGCAGATTTCACTGATCTACACGATAGACAATTATCTTTTTTATGGTATAATAAACATGTCATATAGATATTAAAAATGAAATAAATGAAGAATGAGAGAATTTTGTTCACATATAATTCTGACCAAAGAAAAATCTTATCGACAAATATTCCCAAATATTCAAAATAACATGTTTTCATTGAAATTCCAGTAAGTATTAACCAAAATTAATGGAATTCAAACAAATCCTTTATTCAAAGGGACTATATGAAGAAATATACAAATAGTAAACATACAATTGATATAATGCATATAAATTAATATTTTAAAAATTATGATATTTGCAGCATTTAAAATTACATCTTCAATTGA